GCGGGGGCAGGCGCTTTGCTGTGCCGCCGGTTCTCGGTGGTCGCTGCGCTAAGCGGCGTGAGGACCGGCGGGGGGGGGGCTCCTGCTCCAGACTCCCGAGGTGCGAGACCTGCGCCTGTAGCCGCGGGTGGGATAAGCAGTTCGGGTTCGTGCTCTTCGGTTGCTTCAGGGCAAAATTAATCATCCCATAATGTATAATCCCTCAATCTGTGACCCCCGTAGTAGCCACTTGCTCGTTTTTCCCCCGCCTTGGTTTGCTGGCAGCGGGAGTTTAGAGCTGCAGTTCAGTAAACCCTGGTGAGGAATTCCTCACAGCTCTTGATGCTGGGCTGGGGAAGGGCGGGGAGGACAGAAGAGAGCTCCAGGAAGGGCAACCTCTAACGCGCCATCGTTCAGTGCTGGATGTAAGCCAGTTCTGCACGTAAAAATCCTGTTTGTCCTGGCATTGAAATGCTCCTTTTTCTTACTGCAGAAGAGCTACTCTTGATCTACCAGAATGAAAGTGAAAGCACTGAGCAGCGTAGAAATGTTGAGTGGGAGAGATGATCAGCCTGCATTTTTCACCTGTGGAAGAAGATGAAGTTCTATCAACGTAGAACACACTCCTTCTTGGTCTGTAATGTTATCCCAAAATATTCACCCGCTCCTGCTACTGCAGAAAAAACAACAAACTGATGTTTGGGGCAGGGAGAGAGTGATAGTTCAGAAAGCGCTAGGGTAACATGTCCATGGATTCAGGGTAGCTGTCTTGGTGGTTGCTGTTAACCTGTCCCAGATCACACTGGGACTGGGACCCTTGCATGGATGATGGCGATTTCCATGTCTGAACCTGTGCCAATATGTAGGTAGGAGGGCTGGGGAAGAGATGAAACAGCTGTCAGGCCAAGCACGGGCTTCTTGGAAGAGCAGCTGGGGTGGAACAGGTTGGAAAAAGCTTCAAGGGTTGTTTCTGTGGGAATAGACTGACCGTCCTGCTGCTTAATTCATGGCTAAGGCAAACTCATTTGGGCTAACTTAGCTCTCTTTCATTGCAACCGCAACTCTGTTCTCAGTTCTGGGCTGTCTGTGCATAAAGGCCAGGTGTTCCCTCTTTCTGCAAAATTCAATTCCTCAAAGACAGCCAGCGTATCCAAGCCCCAAAGTCAAGGAGATAATATGCAGGCGCAACCAGACACTGACTGTCCTTCTCAGCAAAGGAAGAACCATCAGTTTGTGGAGACAAAGAAGCACAGTTCAGCAGAGGGAATTCCACCGCTTTCACACCCAGAGCTGAGGTATGAAACATCTGTATGTGGGGGCAAGAACACCTGTGTAGCCAATGGTTATCCATGTCTGTTTCCTCATAGGAACTTGGAATCAGTGAATCGAGGTAGGTTGCAGCCCTGTTGATCTTTAGGCTCTCATCAATTGCAGTTGCAGTCCATGAAGCAAACTGCTACAGAACTTTGGGAGGGCCTCTGCCTCCCACCTCAGATCACTCTGCAGCAGAAAAAAATGCTTCCATTAGCCTGAGGACACTTTGAGGGGCAGGTAAGATTTGGATGATTGTTTGTAAGAGTATTTTGATACTTTGAAGGAGGGAAATAAAAGTAGAATGGGTGGTAGCAATGTTATTCATGGAAGAATTTGATTCCTAGGCTGTGCTGTCCCTGTAGGCCCTGAAATGGGCAGCATGGACAATTCTGCTGGATCTAGAGCGGATGTCAGCTGTCCATCACTTTCTAGAGCTTACTCTTCCCTGATATGTAAATGAGCACTGACTACAGGAAATCATGGTGAGAGCTGGAGACAGCCTTCTACCCCTTGGTGACTCCTTTCTCATCGAAAAATGATGTGGAATGAAATTCCAAACAAATTGTGCTAAAATGCTGTACAGAACTTGCTAAATCTTCATTCTAGCAATTCCTGTGAGCATTTCCATCATTTAGTAGTTGTCTCTGTTACAGAAAAGTTGTTGATGCTCTGTAAGGGTTTCCAGTGCCCTTGGCATTTCAGAGTGGATATTTGTGCAACTACTACTTTCTTCCCCTTCTGGGATATGAACCTCACAGCCTGTCCACATTCCCCCAAGGTTTCACTTACTGATGAGGGCTATTACTATAACAGATGAAGTCAGCACAACTCTGAAGTAATGTAATGAATGAAAAACAAGTACCTCCTGCCTTTGCCAATGCAAATTCTGGGGGTTTCTGCCTCTGTCTAGTACTGTCAATGCTTCTTGCCACTGCACAGGTGAGAGGCACTGCATAAGAACCTTAGACAAAGCTTGGCTTCTCAGCCTTCTTAACCTTAGTATGTGTTTAATGCTATTAACAGTAACATCCTTCTTAAATATTGAATGCAGTTCCTGGAGGCTTGCTTTTCTGATTTCATTCCTCTTTATCCAGCTCTCCTTCCCCTGACTGGAAGCAAAAAATCCCCAGCAAGCAAATCTTGCCACTGTGCCACATCCCCCTCAGATCCCAACACAATGTTTCCTCTGCAGCCTGCATACCCCAGCTGGCTGCCAAAATAGCCCTTGCAGCCAACCCCCATGTAGTCCGGAGGAAAGTCTCTTACAAATTCAACCTGGAGCTGAAAGGCAAGGCAGGCTTCCTCTGGCTAGTCTCTCCTCTTCAATGAAGACATGAATGAGAATATTGGCCAGCATTTCTGGTGGAGCTGCACAAGCCAGGACATTTACTAAGCACAAACTGCATCTTCCAGCTTAACTGAAACAAAACACAGCCTTACCTTATCTTAGTCACAGAAGCCAGCAGGAGCTCTCTCTGTCCTCAAGTGCTTCACTGGTTTTGAGCTTGAATTTCTTTCCCTGAACTTTGAGTTATTCAGTAGCGGATTTAGAGGTTTCCTGTATTTCACAAAAGCATTTCCTAACAATTAATGGTTCCAACAAGCTGTCTGTTGACATAAAAAATGTATTTTCTTTTTCTTGTTCCCTTGGCTGCAGTGAGTTAGTTCATTTGGGATTACAATGGTAGCACAGTAGGACTTGGTTTGTCTTTTCCTTGCATGAAATTTTGTTGAAAGTGTGAATTGTAAAAGGCGTTTGAATGAGGCAAAGTAAAAACCGTTTTTTTAAATGAAAGGCTGTTAACATTTTCTTCTCTTCCCCAGCCTCAAAGCTTTGCAAAATCTTGGAAGTTCAGTGGCTTCTGCAGAAATGCTTAAATTAAAGCCTTTTCACCCCTCTACTGAGGTTGGATTTCAGAGGAAACAAGACATTCGTGTTCACACTGTCGGTGCCTGTCTCGGTCTCCTCTTAGTAGCAGTGGGATGCCTTGGCCAGTTCTAACCTCCTTTGCAGCAGAGGTGGAGGTCCTGCAACAAGCCAATGCAGCATGTGGCTCCGAGGCTGCAGTCCCCAAAATGATCTGTAGCCCAGGTACAAAACTGGCTGGTCAGTCGGCCAGGGCAGGAGATGAAGGAGGGCACTGCGGTGAGGCATAGCGCAGAAAGCAAAAGAAAATGAGTGGGCTTTTGCAGGGGTTGAGGTAGGTGACATGCAAGAGTGCTGTAGGGGCACGTGTTCATCAGCTGTCATTTTCAGCATCTGAGATGAGTGAACCTGAATAGAAGTGAAGAAATGTAACTATGAGGAGAGCTGGACCGCAAGTGCCCAGATTTCCTAAAATTCACGAACAAGACCTTGGGTGAGACAGAAAAGCGGGTTTCCTCGGTCTTTCAGGAAGCCTCTGTGCTGTGCGGGGCCGGGGCAGGGATGAGGGTGTGGGCCAGTGCTCTGAGGGCACCGGACCCAGGGTGAGGGTGCAGACCCAGGCCCGTGAGGGTACCGGACCCGCTGCGGGGCACGGCTCGCCGGCCGCTGACCCTGCCCCCTCGGCGGGTGCCCGCCCGCACTACAACTCCCGGCGTGCCGCGCGGCGGAGGCGGCCGGTGCGCTTGCGCAGCGCCTGCTCCCCCCCTCCCCGCCGGCATTTGGCGCGGTGCTGTCTGGGTAGGAGGCAGCCAGGCACGTGGGCGCCATTTTGTGGCGAGGGCGAGGCTTTCTCTTCCAGTATAGCTGGCGGTAACGGTAAAGAGAAGCCCGAAGAAGAGCAGCATGTTGCCTTTCCCGTCCCCACCCAGCTGCTGAGCAGTCCTTAACTGTGTGGGCTCCCCTGCCAGCTCGGGTGTGCTTGACAGGCACTGAGAGGGTCTCCCGTGGTGGGCTGGGGCTGAGCTCAGAGTAGGATGCGCGGCTGTCGGAGAAGGCAGGGAAGCTTCTGGTCCTGTCCTTCCCTGCGACACCCAGCTTAGAAGGCGGCTGGAAAGAGCAGCTGATGGGCAAATTTGGGTGTGCACAATGGCGGGGCATGCCTGATGGATTGCTTGCCCAAATCCCCAACAGGGAGCGGATACTGTAGCGGGGGGGGTCTGCGCAGAGGTGGCTCTTCTGAACCCTGGGGGGCATGGGCGCTGCTGCCTGAGATGAAAGCAGCAAAGAGCATTGCTCCAAACTGATGCAAAACTAATTGTATAACGCAGGATAAACACACTAAAACCCTGTGGTTAGCCCCCTTACTTGTGACTTGCAATCTACGGCATGTAATAATGGCTTCTTCCATCTTGTGTTGAAAAGGGTTGAAATCCCCAAATTCTAGGGTATATCTGCTAAGAGTCAAAAGGCTTCCCCGCGCACCACATAAGATGAGCTAGGTGGTATACCCATCATTTTCCTTCTCCCTTTTTCTGAAATCATCTGAATTTACACCAGCACAAAATAATGTCAATACCTGACCAGGTGCATGGTGCTAGTGAAAGGCAAAATTTGCCATCATGACCTTATTATTAACTTGACGCTTGCATTAAATTATGGCGTACTGTTAAGTACCAAACTCAAATCCTCCCTGATGCAGATAGCAGGCCTCTGGTCTTCAGTGAGACTAGGTATTGTTCACTGATAGTGAATTTTAATCACCTTCCTGTTTTTCAGAGGGTTATTTTCTCTTTGCTGCATTTCCTTCAGAATGTCTAAT